TGGCGCCAGGGACAGCAGCCCGGGTCGCCGCTGCGTTCTTCCTCAGAGTGAGGGGAGTGCAGGGCTAGGGTCCCCCGAGCAGGGCCAGCCGGCTTTCTCCCAGGCCCCGGTCCCTGGGTCTCCTGGCGGCTGGAGGGAGGCACCTGCCCACAGGCACCCGGAGGCAGGGTCCCCACCCGGCCCCTGACCCAGCGGTGACCCAGGTCCCAGCCACCACTCCCCCCCGAGCCTGTTCGCTTCCCTTTGTACTCGGAGCACAGGGCCCGCGGGGGGCTGGCAAGGCCAGGTGACACAGCGCCCTCCAGCTCGCCCAGGCGCCCGGGAGGCTCCTGTGGCCGCGCCCCACCCCCGCTCACCCTGGTCCCCAAACCCAGGCCGCCTTTCTGCACCCCTGTCGCCCCGAGCCGGGGAGCCTCAGTCCTTGCCGTTCTCGCAGTACCCACACGCGGCGCTCCCGCACAAGCGCCTGTCCCCGGAGAGGAGCGGGCGAGGGGCGGGCGTGGGCCACCTGAGTCTCCGCCAGGCCTGCTTCAGTGTGGGGACTGCAGCCCCGGCAGTCCGCACCCTGACCCGGCCCTGGGGCTCAGGCTGGAAAGCACACAGGGACCCTGGGGAGCGACAGTTACACGACGCCACCTGCAGAGACTCGAGTGGGCTCTGCTGAGGCCCGAGTCCCACTGCAGGCGGGGCAGGGCGAGGGCACTGCAGGTCCCTCTGGGGCAGCCGGGCGGCCCCTCTCAGGCGTGGGGCGGGCGCCTCTCCAGGTGCCGGACCTCCGCCTGCACCGGCCTCCAGCCCCGCAGGGCCGGCTGCGGACCCCGGGGCCTTGTGGCCTCTGACAGCCTCATTCTGCACGTGGGGAACAGGCCCGGCCCAGAGAGGGTGAACAGACCCGGACAGACTGGAGACCGCTGGGCCTGGGCCGGGCCCTGGCTGTTCAGAGGTGGCGCAGGGCCCTCGCCCCGCTGGGCCCCCAGGCCCTGCTTCCTCCCAGCGCTGAGCTGTGAATTTGATTTTTACAAGGTGCTAAATTCTGATGGTGCAAAGGGAAACCCAGAGAAAAGTAAGCTGTCCCCTTCACCCTGGGCCCGGAAAGCGGGCCCTGAGGACAGGGCCAGCCAGGCCGCCCTCCCTCAGTGCTGTGTGTACCTGGGGCTGGGGCTGATGCCTTCCCTCCGTCCTCCTCCCTGCCTTTGTTTCCATCCTCCCTTCAGCAGGGTCTTGGTATGCATCTCAGGCCAGCCTTGGACCACATGACCCTCCTGCCTCAGCCTCCCAAGTGCTGGAATTACACGTACGCCCCACCATGCCTGGCTTTTATGGCCTGTGTGCTGGTGCGGGGGAGCATCGCTGAGATTCTTCCTCAGGACATCAGCATCCAGAGTGACCAGGGCCATTGCATACTGCGTCTCCCAAAGCTCCTGGCCCAACGTTCAGTACCCCCAGCATGGCACCGTGGTGCAAGGGCTGCAGTCAGAGTCGCTCTTGCTCTGGGCCTTGTGCTACTGCATCCACCTGGCTGCTTGCAGCAAAATGAACATCATTTAAAAAAGAACACAAGTGGCCAGGCATGATGGCATACGCCTGTAACCCCAGCACTCAGGAGGCTGAGGCAGAAGGATTGCTGTGAGCTCGAGCCCAGCCTGGGCTACACAGTGAGATCAAGGCCAGCCCGAACTGCGTGTCAAGACCTTGTCTCAATAAAATAAAATAAAACAAAATAAAATAAAATAAAATAAGCCTGTAGGCAGCTAGGGAGAGCAGTGCACAGCTGGCCCAGCCCCAGGATCTCCCCCGTCCCCCGAAGGCCCTGGGTACACACATGAGGAGCACGACCTGTGCCAGCTTTCCTTGGCATCACTGAAGCCTGAAAACAGCGCACATCCTCCGCTGCAGAGGCTCCACTGTGTGCGGAGCGCCTCTGCAGCTGTGAGGCCACCCCGCCACCCCGTCCGGTGGGAACCCCGCCCCCTAGACCCGCCGGTGTGTGAGGAGCTGCGGATGGCCCACACTGCTCCGTGCCGCGTGGGGGCGGGGGCTTGTCACTTCTGACCTGGCCGCCCCTGGGGAGACCAAAGGACACTGGTAACCGGGACCCCCTGGACATCCTGAGCCACGTGGGCCCTTTCTGTATGCAAAAGAGAAAGCAAAAGTCGCCAGAGCCCCTCACTTTTTTAAGGTAAGAGAGGAAAGCTTCGGGCCAGAGGCCGGCTGTCACTCTTCACGTGTGCCGTCCCCGGGCCTGGCGCGGGGACCCCTTGCTGGGGTCACCGTGTGACAGACGGGTGCCGCCCCACGTCCTTCCCAGATCCAGATCAGCTCATCTTGGCTCCTGATGCGGGCGATAGGGACAGTTATCAGCTTTTGCGTCCTGGGCACCGAGCTGCTCGCGCTCCCGGGCACCGCCCCTTGGCAGCTGAACCTGCGCTCTCCGCCGGGCTGCATAAAAGGGGCTGTGTGGCCCCTGCAGCAGCGACTCCGGCGCCTCCACTGCTCAGGCTCCCGCAGGGCCGAGTCCTCCCGCACGGCAGACGACAAGCAAGGGACCATGGCGGAAGGTGAGTGGGCGCTCGGTGCCCTCAGCCTAGCCAGCCTTCCCCTGCCGCGCTCTGTCCCGGGCACCTGGGCATTGCCCTCACCCGACCTGTGGCTGTGTGGCCCAGCACGGCGTGCTGTGCCTCCAAGTTGCCCTTCAGGGACAGTGTCAGGTTTACCGCAGTGTGGCAAGGGGGACAGGAGGCCCCGTACGCCTGCTGCTACCTCCAAAGTCCCTAAGCGACGAGCCTGCTTTTGTTTAGCCTTTTCTTTCAGTTTTTCTTTTCTTTTCTTTTTTGGTACTGGAGTCAAACTCAGCACCTTGCTCTTGCCAGGCAGGCGCTGTGCCGCTGAGCTACATCCCAGCCCTTTTCTCCTTTTATACTGGGGACCAAACCCAGGGGTGCTGGACCATGAAGTTACATCCCCAGCCCTTTTAATTTAAAAAAAATTTTTTTTGGACCAGGGATATAGGTCAGTGGCACAGCGCCTGCTGGCAAGTTTGAGGTCCTGAGTTCAACTCCCGGTACAAAAAAAAAAAATTGGTCCTGGGGGTTGGACTCAGGGTCTTTGCACTGAGCTCTACCCCCAGCCCTCTTTAAATTTTACTTTTTATTTTGAGACAGGGTCTCACTAAGTCACTGAGTTGCCCAGCTGGGCTCAAATGTGGAATCCTTCTGCCTCAGCCTCCTAGCGTGCCGGGGGACAGGCGCAGTCCCTGCTCAGGCTGCGCATCTCCGGGGCAGCACTCGCCCTGTGGCCTCCTCCCCCGCGGCGGGCAGAGCGGCTGCCGCGGGACTGAGGGGGCGAGGCCGGACGGCTGGCTCCCCTGCTGCCGCGCGTGTGCGCGTGTGCGGCGACATCCGCGCAGTGCCAAGGCCCGCCGCCGCAAGGAAGGCGGAGAAGGTCCGGGCCTGGGGCGCGAGGGCAGGGCTGTGACCCCGACCTAGTGTCCCTCTCTGCGGCGTCAGGTGCCCGCTGCTGGGCACCGCGCGGCGCTGCTCCCGGGATAAACCGCCAGGCCCGCGCCCCGCGCCCGCAGCGCCGGCGTGTCGGGAGGCCGGGCGCAGCCGCAGCCCTCGGCGGGACCTCGAGCAGGGACGTGGACAGGCCGCGGCTGGGGAGCGCGGGGTTCACACGGAGGCCAGGGGAGGGCGCTGGGTGGCACCGGGCGCTGGTCAGCGTTCCGCGAGAAACAGACGCTGGGCACCGCGACCAACTCCGGGAAAACCCGAGCGCTCAAGGACACTGCAGCCACTGCGGGGACTGCCGAGCCGCGGGGCGGCGATTCGCGGAGGCAAAGGAGAAACAGGAAGGAAGGAGAGAGTGCAAGGACTCCCGAAAGTTAGGGATGTGTGTGTGGCAGAAGGTTGTGAAAGCCGCTTCAAGGCCTGCGGGAAGCAAAAGCCGCCACCTGTCTCAGGCGCACACCTAGGATCCCAGAGACCTGGGAGGCTGAGGCAGGAGGATTTGAAAGTTTGAGGCCAAATTTAGTGATTCAAAAAAATATTTTTTTTGGTCTTTTTGAGACAGGGTCTTGCTATGCAGTTCAGGCTGGGCTTCAACTCACTTTGTAGCCCAGGCTGATCTCGAACTCAAAACGATCCTCCTGCCTCGGCCTCCCGAGTGCTGGGATTACGGTGTGTGCCGCCATGCCTGGCTAGTGACTCAAAATTAAAAGGGCCAGCCGGGTGTGGCAGGTCACGCCTGTAACCCCAGCACTCGGGAAGCTGAGGCAGGAGGATCGTGGAGAGTTCCAGACCAGCCTGGGCTACAAAGTGAGCTCAAGGCCGGCCTGAACTGCATATCGAGACCCTGTCTCAAAAAAAAAAAAAAAAAAAAAAAAAAAAAAAAAAGGGTTAGGGGTGCAGCTTGATGATAGAGTACCCCGGGTGGGATCCCCCAGTACCAAAGAAGGAAAGGGAGGGGGAGGAGCTATTCCGTAGTATAACTTAGTGACTCAGTGAAACGTCTGAAAATAAAAAGGTCTGGGTCTGTAGCTCAGTGTGAAGAGCCTGGGTTCCACCCCCAGTAAATGCAAAGGAAAAAAGCCTCTGCACCAGCGGCAGCCTGGGGCTGTGGGAGCCCTGGGACCCCGGCTCCGGCCCTCTCCTCTCTCTGTGTGCAGCCCCAGCCGGCCAGAGTCTCGGCTGCCAGGCCGGGGACGGTCCCTGCCCACGGCTTCCGCCCAGAGGCGCCATCTCCTCTTTCCCGCCTGGGGGTTGAGGGACGGAGACCTCGAGGCACCCTGGCCACTGGGCCCTGTGGTCTCGGGCAGACGGAGGACAGGGGCACCCGAAGGCTGCTAACAAGGCGCCTGGCCGAGCGCCCCCAAGACCCCACGCCCTGCGGTCGGTGCTCGCCTGTCCGCTCACCTGCTGGCAGCAGAGCCTCAGGAAGACCCGTGGGGGCCTCATCGGGCTGTGAGCCCCGGGCCCAAAGCGCCTGTCTCTGCCTCCCGCCAGAGCTGCAGATCCGCCACGTGGACCTCATGAAGCAGGACAACGCCGCCGCCCACCACACGGCCGACTTCCAGACGCCCGCCCTGGTGCTGCGCCGGGGGCAGGTGTTCACCCTGCGGCTGCAGCTGAGCCAGCCGCTGCAGCCCGGGCAGGACCACCTGACCCTGCAGTTCAGCATGGGTGAGCTCGGGCCTCCTCTCCAGCCTCTGCCTCCCTGGCCTCGCCCCCCACCCCCGTCTAGGGACTGCTGAGGGCTCCATCCGTGGGGATCCAAGTCCTTAGCCCAGCAGAGGGGAGCTGGGGAGGGAGGCGGCCTCCAGCTGCTTGGGAAGAATCTGGAATTTTCTAGAGTTGAATCTCGGGCTGTGGCTGGGTGTGGTGGCTCACACATCATCCCAGCACTCTGGGAGGCTGAGGCAGGAGGATGGCAGGTTCAAATCCAGCTTGGGCAACTTAGCACCCAAGTGACATCCTGTCTCAAAACAACCACTCAAGCTTCAGAGGGAGAGCTGGTGTGTGCGCACTAGGAGGTCAGGACGACAGCCAACGACGCAAGCTGGGCGGCTGGGGCCCAGGAGGGAGGGGCAGGCTGACGGCCGGGCGCAGGCGACCCTCAGCAGGCCGCGGCCTTCTCTCCCTTCGTGTCTGCAGGACTTGAGCCTAGCGTATCCAGGCACACCCTGATCTCCCTGGACCTGCAGTCGTCCGCCAGCTGGCACGGCTGGAGGGCCAGCATCCGCAGCCAGGCCGGCTCAGAGGTGAGGCTGGGGCCGGGGCCGGGCGGCGACTCCCGGCCCGGGCTGGGCAGCTGCTGTCCCCGTGCCCAGTCCCCAAGGAGCTTCTCTCTTCCTTCAGCCTTTGCTCACAGCGGGCTCCTGGCTGGCTCCGGCCTGGGGCAGGCCTGGGCTTGCAGAGGCTGTTGTATGTGCTTTAGGGGAGGGGCGAGGCTTTGCCCAGTGGTGCCGTCTTCCCTGGGGCTGCAGTCAGTCCTCTCTCAGCTAGGTCTTTAGTTTTTCTTTTTTGGGTTTTTTTTGGGGGAGGGGAGGGTGGGTGAGACAGTCTTTCTGTATAGTTCAGGCTGGCCTGGAACTCACCCAATCCTCCTGCTTCAGCCTCCCCAGTGCTGGGCTTATAGGCGTGTGTAAACGCGCCCAGCAAGGACTATTATTACTGTCCATCCTATTTCTGCTGCTGTCTGTCCCAGAGGGCCGGAATGCCAGTCTTGGGCCCGCGCACAGCCGGGCCGGCCCGAGGGCGGTCGGGCGTGGAGTGGAGCTCCCAGTCTGTCCGGGACGGCGGGGCGTGCTGCGGTCCCTGGGCCGCCTGGGCGCCGGCGCCGGTCTGGTGGCCGGGGGCGCCCACGTGCCCGTGCCCCGCAGGTGGTCATCGCCGTCACCAGCGCCCCCCACGCCATCGTGGGCGTGTACTCCCTGGAGGTGAAGAGCGGGCGGCACCTGTTCGAGCCCGAGGACAGCACTGTGTACCTGCTGTTCAACCCGTGGTGTCCAGGTGACGGGGCGGGGACCCGGGGGCGGGCACTCGGCCCCCTGGGCTGCACCGGGCCGGGAGCGCGCCTGGGCGAAGCCCTGGGGCACAGCACCCCCCCCTCCGCGCCCGGCCCGGCTCCACCCCTCGCTCTCCGCCAGACGACGCGGTCTTCCTGCCCACCGAGGAGGAACGGGCCGAGTACATCCTGAGCGACACCGGCTACGTGTACATGGGCTCCTTCCGCCAGGTCAAGGAGAAGCCCTGGAACTACGGCCAGGTACAGCCCGGCCTGCCTGCGCACAGCGATCCTCCTGCCTCAGCCTCCCCAGAGATGGGGTTATAGCAGTGCACTACCACACCCTGCAATTATTTCTTTTTCACTTTGAGACAGTCTTGCTGAGTTACCCAGGCTGGGCTTGCACTTGCAATCTTCCTGCCTCACCCTCCCTCATAGCTAAGATTACAAGCTTGCGCCACCATGCCCAGCAGTGCACTTCTCTTTAATGGTGCCATCCTCTAGGTGGTTTCCTTGCGGGCGGCTGGGAGGGTGAGTTCATGGCACGTGTTAAGTTCCTGGCATGGGCAGAGCTGTCATAGCTCTTTCTTCATTTCCCAAACCAGTTTGAGAAGAACATCCTCGACTGCTGCATCTTCCTGATGACCCAAAGCTACCTGAAGACCATGGACATGCGGGACCCCGTGATGGTGGGGAGAAACATGGGAGCCATGGTAGGTGTGGGAGGGAGGGTGCATGGGCTTGGGCAGGGGCAGTCTCCAGGCCCCGTGTGGGACCAGTGGCCCTGACAGCTCATGAGGACTGTTGTGGGCTGAATCTCAGTCTTGGGGCAATTTGCTTCTCTGAGCCTCAGTTTCCCCCATTATGAAATGGTGTCAGCACAGGAGTCCTGTCCTGGGGCTAGGCTGCAGTCAGGGTGAGTGCGTGGCTCCAGCTCCCGTGGAGCTTTTAGGTTTCAGAGAGTCATGGAGAACCCCATATTCCGGGACCCATCCTGGGCAAGAGGACTGCAGGTCACCTCAGGTCACCTCAGGCCCCTGGGTGTCCAGAAGTCAGTTTCCCAGGATGCAACTCGCAAGCAGCCTGTCCCAGGAGCTTTCCACACGCCCCAGGAGCTGTGTTCGTGTGATTTAGATCTACAGATATTTATTGCATTAGAAATCAAAGCTGAGAAGTTTAAACACTATTTTTCTTCTAAAGAAATGGTAATAAATCCATTCTGTGTTAACAATTTGTACCCGCCCCCCCCCCGAAAAATACCTAGAGCTGAGTAAGGAGGCACACACCTATAATCCCAGGATTTAGGAGGCCGAGGCAGGAGGATTGCAGCAAGTTTGAAGGCAGCCTGGACTACACAGTGAGCTCAAGGCCAGCCTGCTCTATGTAGTGAGACCCCCATCTCAAAAAAACAGAAGAAAACCAAAGACCTATTTTTCAAAGCATATAACACAAGCAGAAGAGCAACGCTGTTTTATGTTTTTGCAAATCTCTACGGCCTGGGAGAATCAGTGAAACTTCCTACCTGCCAGGGTGCGCTGTTGTTGGTGAAATACATGAAGGGAACCTGGCCTCACGGGGATTCACAGAGGCGGAAGGCAGAGGAGCCTGGGCTGGGAGTTTGGTTTTTTTCTCTCTTTTTTGAGACAGGGTCTCACTATGTGGTTCAGGCTGGCCTTAAGCTCACTTTGTAGCCCAGGCTGGCCTCGAATTCGTAACGATCCTCCTGCCTCAGCCTCCTGAGTGCTGGGATTACAGGTATGCGCCACCATGCCCGGCTGGGCTGGGAGTTCTCAGGTGCAGGGCTCCGGGTGGCCTCATGGTGGCCGGGGCATGTGCTGGGCACACAGCAGGTGTGTCGTGGCCCTGTCCCCATGGCCTGCTGGGTGCCCCAAGCTCGTGGCGCTGCCTGCTCAGCCCGGGGTCTTGGGGTCTTGGCTGAGTGAGGGGCGCAGGGCCCCCTGCTCAGGACTCTGCTCGCAGCGTGCAGGCAGCACCTGGCCACGCCCTGCGCTCTCGGGGCGCTGCAGCCCGCTGTCGGGGCAGGGTGGCTGTGCTGCCCGGTGTCCAGCAGCCTGTCTCCTGGCGGCCCTCGTGGCACCACGTTTGGGGGCGGGGGTGCAGCGAGCTCATTTCCAGGACGAGGAACCCAGGCCGTGGGCCTCGAGACCACTCCGCTGCCCCTGGTGCAGCGCTCCACTCCTGTGCCCTCCATGCTGGCCTGAGTCACTGCCAGAATAGATTCTGAAGATGAGGCCTCAGGTGTGGGGCCTTTAAACCCCGGGAAGTTTGGAGGCCTTGGCTGGAGGCACTGCCCCTTTCCCACAGGCCTGCTGGGCCACTGCGGGTTTCTGACCGGTAGGCAGAAGGAGCACCAAGTGGGGCTGCCTGGGAGGGGGCCCACCCCACAAGGGACAGGTGCAGCAGTCAGCACATGTCTGGCTATAACTGTGTAACAAGTCGCCCCAGATGTAGCTTTCGCAGCACTGTTGTTGCACCTACAGGGGGCTCCTGTGCTCCTCACCCCACTGCAGCAGCCTCAGGTCTCCTTGGGAGGAGGGAGAAAGGGGTGCACAGAGCTCGGTTGGGGGGACCCCACTTCTGCCATATTCAGGGGTTGGCAGGGCGTGGCCGGGTGCAGGCAGGGGGTTCTGTCTGGCTGTCTGTACTCCTGTGGGAGGGCTGAGCGTCCTTCCAAAGAGCCTGGGGTGCAGGTGTCGTGGGTTGGAGGCCGCCGTGTCCTGTGAGCCCCAGCGCCCCGGGGAGGTGGGGAGCAGGCAGGGGACCCGGCGACAGCTGAGTGGGCGTGCGACTCCACGGCCCAGCTCCCCCGGTCTCCATGGATCTGTGACCTGCGAGCCGGGGCACACTGTGAACCGCACGAACCCCGAGCCAGGACGTGGCTGCACCTTTTCATGCTTCAGCTTTTAAAAACGGATGCCCGTCGCCCCCAGAGGGTAAGGCAGTGGCACTGCACTTGCCACACTCCGGAGCTAGCGGAGCAGGCGGGGTCGCACACAGGCCGGGAGGGCGGCTGCGGTCACTGTGGCTGTCATCCTCTTTGGGTCTTCAGAGGGCCCCTCGGGCCTGTCTGTGGATGCAACCTTTTTAGGGGTTACACGAAGTCTAACTTAGGATCCTTTGCTAAGTCTTTTTCAGTGCTGAGACTCGAATCCAGGCACGGAGGACGCCCGGGAGTGCTCTAGTGTGCTGCCTGCTTCATGTTTTATTTTACTTAATTTTTGTGGTACTAGAGATTCGCACCCAAGACCTTCAGTGTAGCTACATCCATGGCCCTTTTTTAGTTTTTCATTTTGAGACAGAGTCTTGCTAAGTTGCCCTGGCTGGCCTGGAATTTTCGATCCTCCTGCCTCAGCATCCAAGTGCTGGGTGTACAGTCATGGACCCCCACCTGGAAGAGCCTGTGTATTTTTAACCAGAGAGCACTTCGCACATGCCAAGGGTTTTGAAAGGTGCTCTTGGGGCACCCTTTGCTTTCTTTCTGCTTGTAATCAAGTTGCTGGGTATGGGGCACACACCTGTAATCTCAGCACTCAGGAGGCTGAGGCAGGAGGATTGCTGTGAGTTCAAGGCCAGCCTGGGCTACATAGTGAGGCTCTACCTCAAACCACCCCCAAAATCAAGCGTCAGGGACAGTCTGAGGCTCTTCCGGGTGGGGAGAGACACAGCCCACCGACAATGAGTTTGGAAACAAGATCCCACAGCCGGCACAGGCATTATCCAGGTCACCCCCAAAACACAGCTCTGAGGGGGCTGTTCGTGACCAGCATTTTACAGAGGAGGAAACTGAGGCACAGCATCAGCCCGGGTCATGTGGCGGCGCGCTCCTTGGGCCCGCTGGACAGGCCGTGTCCCGCGTGTCCGCTCTGACCGCTCTTCCTGTGTCAGGTCAACTCGCAGAACAAGGACGGCGTGCTGGTGGGGAACTGGTCCGGGGAGTACCAGGGGGGCACGGCGCCGCACCTGTGGACGGGCAGCGCGCCCATCCTGCAGCGGTACTACAGCACCAGGACGCCCGTGTCCTTCGGCCAGTGCTGGGTCTTCGCCGGCGTCCTGACCACGGGTAGGTGCGGCCGGCGGC